TCTTTCAATTTTTCTCCCTTTTTTTTGTTTCTTTGTCAAATAAAAGTGCTATACTTTTTCACCTCTTCCCTCAGGCGATGATTTGGCTGGGATCTACACATTTGAGCTTATATATACAAAACCTGGTACCAATATAACTGCTGTGTGCTCTTCAGAAAACTGCTTGCTTTAACTTACCCTCTTCCATTAGAAACTACTGCTACCGTCATTCTTGATGTTGAACAAGCACTTAGGCTGAGTCCTTAATCTTTTTTCACCCTCCCTCCCCACATTTTTTTAAAAAAGTTCTGTCTATTGAAAGAAATGTTTGCTTTAAGCAGCAGATTCTGTTTAGCTTCTGGGATTTGCTGATAAACATTTTAGGAAGCACTACGAAAAACAAAAGATTATTCCATTTTATAAAATTTATTTATTCCTTCTTCGAGCGACTTTTCCTCTCTGATTAAATAAACTTATACCACAGCTACATAAGTTCTGTTAATATATGTAAAAATCAATTCAGTGATTGAAGGGGTGGGGGCGATTTTTCAGTGCACCCACGTCGCAACTGAATATGATAAAAGGTCGAGGTTTCATGTGGGTTTTTCGACAATGCGTAGAAAAAAATGCTCAGGGGGTGCCTCGGGCGCCGCCTAATGACCCCAGTACTCTCTCGAAGAAGTACTAACCGGGTGGATACGACCCCCTAATATTGTTTTCAAACTACCTCAGTTGGTGCTGGCAGAGTATAAGCCAGCGATTAAATGCACTAATTATATAAGAGTAAATAAAAAAAAGAATGGAAGTTAATGCAAACTTCAGTTGCCAATTAGGTCACACCGTTTTGTTGTTGATTTTTTTTTATAATTGTGTTCATCTAAGAGCCACTCGATGTAGAGCATTACAGAGTAAGTAACCTATGCTAACAGTTTCTTTCGAGCTTGTGGAACTCCAATCCATCTCCATAATTTCCAGCCAACTTTAATCTGCAAAAATTTAAATACAATGTCAATGGCTATCTACTGTCCTGCTGATTACTCTTTTCTCTTTCTACTCATTACTAATGTTTCTGTTTCTAATTCCTCCACACCCTGTAACCCCTTGCCTTTTAGTGGCTGTACTGCCGTGCTTGGGTTGATACCAATTTTAAAAAAAAAAGTGTTTATGCGAATGTGTGAGGAAGATAACGGCACCACTTGAACAGGCTTAGATTGTAGTGTCCGTGGAAGCATCTCCTCGGGAGTCGGTTATCTAGATACATACGTTAGTTCTATTCTAATAGTTTCTATTCTCGTACTTCTTGTCTGTGTAACTCACTTCCGATTTCTTGCTTACCTGCGGTCTTCAAAAATTTAAATGCAAAGTCAATCACAATCTTGTTTCCTTGACACCTGTTTTTATTTTTCTTTCTCCTCACGAACGTCTTCTCATTCTCCTTCACTCCAAGTAACTCCTTGCATCTTAGTAGCGTTATCGCCTTCCTTCGGGGTGAAATGATTAAAAAAAAAACCCAAAAACACGCGCCTTTTTAAATGTTACCAATGTCACATTTTTTTAATTATATTATTTACCAATCATATCTTTTCAAATTTTTATTTATAAATCATACATTTTTTCAAGTTTTTTAACACTAAGTATAACTTCTTAAAGGTTTTTCTTTAACAGTCGTACTTTTTTAAATTTTATATATATCAATATTACATCTTTTTTTAAAGTGACTTATAAGTGATATCTAAAGATTTTATTTACCCATCACGCGTCTTTTTAAATTTGCTTCTTTTTTTACCAAACATATTGTAGTTGTGTTGTGACGCTGAGTAAATAATTATAAACCCTATAACATTTATATTATAAACCCTATAACATTTATATATAAAAAAAATACTTGTAAAATGAAACAAGATGTGTAAACAACAAAACGAGTTTTATTTATTATCTGGTTTTTATGTGGTGTGATGGAAACGAAAAACATTCATAATGAGGAAAATTGTGAATTTGGGGTCAAATATTCATCAAATATCGATCGGAATCCGACAGAAGGATAAAATAAAGAATACGCAAAGTGTATACAGTCTTTCTCGTATGTCTTTTTAAAAAAATTTTTGTAGATGTATCTAATGAGTGTCCAGATAATTTAGTTGAATTACAAGAAATGTCTGCGGTTTTATTGCCTCGAAGTTTTGTTGAGTGCTAAAAGATAAATGTTACTATTATGGCCTAAAAAAAAGGAGAAGGAGATGAAATTTTCGTTGACACACGTGTTAACGACCTATCCGATAGTGAGAATGTCACGTGTTTTCTCGTGGAGAGGTGGGGTGGATCTCATTGGCTGAGAATTTTAATGATAATTATAATATAATTAATGATAATTATAATTAAAATTAAAGGGCTTCAATCATTATTTTATAAAATATATTTACCAATTATACATTTCAATAGCGTTATTTATTCACAAATCATACCCACTTTAAATATATTTTCCCAATCATACGTCATTTTCTGATTTAATTTATCCATTACACACACTTACACACGCACAGACGCATATCCTGTGATATATATATATGTGTGTGTGTATATATATATATATATATATATATATATATATATATATGTATATTGGGTGTATATTGGGTATATATATATATATATATTTGGTGTATTCAAGCAGTCATTTATAATTTATCTTAGTTTGGTTAAAAACCAACGAAGGCTAATCGTTAAGGATCTTTTATTTATTTATTTTCTATTTTAGACCTATTTACTGTTTTTCGGTAAAAGTTTAAATACAAATTCTATAATGTCTGATTACTTTCGGCCTTTCAAAGCCATTAACAAAGAATTTCTGTTTCTAGCGCTATTTTGTTTCATCATTTTCCAACTAGCACGTCATGTCGACTTTTTAAAGTATGAAGTCTTCACGTGTCGATTCGTGTTGTGTCACTTTTTTTAATTTATGAAATATATTTAGAATGCTTTTTTCTAAATTTAATAACGTTTTATTGTTGTTTTGTAATTTAATCGTTTTTTACATCGGTACTATATTTGTGTCATTGGTAAGTTGTTAGGTTTTTGTTGTTTTATTGGCTGTGAGGTTTTTAATTTAACTATCATCGTATATATTTGACATGTTAATCATTGCGATAAAATAGTGTTTGTATAACCAATGTGTGTGTTTGAATTATTATTATGAGTAGTAGTAGTAGTAGTGATGGTGGCGGATAGTGGAGAGAAATTCAAGCTCAATCTTAGACCAATATTTTTAAGAGAAAACTTCAATATTTCGTTGTTTCAAATTTATTTCCTTGATGGTCTTGTAAAATATCTCCACGGATATGCAGTTGTGATCATTTAGGAGCAAAGTTGTCTCTGAGTGTTTTTAAAGAATTACGTAGCATTTTAAATTTAAGATAACAGTCTATTACATTTACGACTTTGTTGAATCAAAAACAGGGGCTCGTGCGACCCCTTTATCATTTTGCGGTGTTCCTAATTAGAGGATGGTTTTATATTGTCATTTGTCTTGTGCCTACACATCGGCACGTGACACGCAATAAAAGCGAATGTCGTGCTGAAAATAATAGGGAGAATTTGAAGGATTAGTTGTGAAACAATCAAAAATATACTGGAAAATGGGAGAACTTTTTTTCTTGTCACTTTCTGTCTGTTCGATTCTATTATTCTATTTTAAGACAGTTCTTTCAAAATAAGAAGTCACTGGGACATGTCTTTTATCTATTATTGTCATCGATATATTCACACAAACATATAATAGAGAGAGGCAGATATGAGAGAGAGAGAGAGAGAAAGAGAGAGAGACAGACAGACAGACGCATATGAGAGAGAGAGAAATATTAAAAAGAGAGATGGATATTAGAAAGAGACAGCTAGCAGAAAGCGAGATATTAGAGATAAACAGATACGCGCGCGTGCGAGAGAGAGAGAGAGAGAGAGAGAGAGAGAGTGAGAGGGATTAAAGAGAGAGTCAGATATTAGAAAGAGACTGATAGTAGAGAGATATATAAGAGAGAAACAGATATGAGAGAGACAGATAGAGAAATATTAGAGATAGATAGATATTAGAGAGAGAGAGAAAGACAGACAAATGGATAGGAGAGAGAGAGAGAAATACTGGAAAGAGGCAGATATTAGAGAGAGATATACATTAGCGATAGACAAATATTAGAGAGAGATATATGAGAGAGAGAGACAGACAGACAGACAAATGGATATGAGAGAGAGAGAGAGAGAAATACTGGAAAGAGACGGATATTAGAGAGAGACAGACAGACAGACAGAGGGATATGAGAGAGAGAGAGAGATAGATAGAGAGAGAGAGAGAAATATTTCATTCACACTTCTTAAATGCGATTTCCTCTTTCTCTCTCATTAGACTTCTCTATTTCATCCATCTTTCTTTCTCTTCAGACTTCTCTTTTTCACTCCCCTTCTTTCTCTCCCATCACTTCTCTTTTCCACCCGACTCTTGTTCTTTCATTAGACTTCTTTTCACCCCTCCCTCTCTATATCTCACCACACTTCACTTTTCACCCCCTCTTTTTCCCTCATTAGACTTCTTTTTTTTTTCACTCACTCGTCCCTCTTTCTCTCCAATCGAACCTGAAACTTCCGGTTCTCATTCCGTCACTGATATTACGCAGTGTCGAACCTTTACTACTTATACGGATGACTGCTTTGGAACAACTGTTTCTGTAAGTGACCTCCTATAATCCAAAATATCCAAATACATTTGGGCTTTAAATAACACACAAAGTGTTGATAAGTCGTAAAAAGAAAGACTTATCACTCAAACACTCATTAAACTCACCCTCCCTCTCTGTCTGTCTGTCTCTCTCTCTCTGTGTCTCTTTTTCACTGTCTCTCCCTCCCTCCCTCTTTCTTTCTTTCTTTCTTTCTTTCTTTGTCACTTTCTCTCTCTCTCCCCCTCTCTCTGTCTGTCTTTCCCTCTCTCTCTGTCTCTCTCTTTCTATTTCTTTCTCTCTCTCCCTCCCTCCCTCTCTCTCCAGACCTCGTTCGATCATCGAAGTTAAGCAATGTCGAGTCCGTTTAGTACTTAGATGGGTAACCGCTTGGGAACACCGGGTATTGTATTGCGATCTCTTACAATCCAAATTGTTTCCGCTTTAAATGTCCCACAATTATTTTTACTATAGAAAATACAGTAAAAATGGACTTGATACAGAAAGGCGGCAAAAAATAAAGACGAAAACCATTGACAGCATTGCTCCCAAGGAGGTTTTATGTATGTAAATATAGTTAGTTTGAACACATAATATTTCTTTCATTCGATGCAGTATGCAATCGGCTAAGATTTCCAAATGAAAGACATCAAAGACTTTTAAGATAGATTTCTGTAATTTTATGTTGTACTAGAATCCTCGCATTTGCTATGATGAAACATAAATTGATTTCTGTTAGTTATAATTGAATCCCGTTCATTCGCAAAATCTAATCTACCGTATGCAGTCGCAAATGCAAAATATTCCCTCGGCCCTAGATTCTACCCCAACTGATTGTTAAGCTCAGCAAAGCTTTGTTTTTAAAAGGCGTTATTTTTCTTTTATGCGATGTGACCCTTCAGGTCGATGGCTCTTCACAATTTCAATATACTTCGTAACACTAAGCAATGCTTTTCTCCTAACTATCACTCCTAGTTCATGTTTGGAAAGACTTTTCCGTGTTGACTTTTCTAAGTTGAATAAAATGTAATTTAATTCTCCGTTCATTCATCAACCAAATACATGTTACACAATGCTTGGTTGATTGATTCGTTTTCTACGGCTTATCAACACTTTGCAGATTATTTAAAGCCAGAAAATATTTTTTAGATACCTAGATTTCTTTTGGCGAGGGGAGATAATGGTTTAGTGATACAAATCTTACTAATTAACCCATAGCTGGGGGCAGAGAACAGGTGGACTCATACTTCATAAGAACTTGATAAATAAACAAATTATAATGTGGATATAAAATGAGGGATCAAGTCTATATTACAATCAATATATAAACTGATCCCTCACTTTATGGCCACAGTAGTTTCTATATATTTATATCCCAGAGAAAGTAAATAAATAAAAAAGACATGCCTGTGTAGCTAATCAGTATTTCATTCATTCGTTTTCTACGGCTTATCAACCTTTTTCAGGTTATTTAAAGCCAGAAAATATATTTAGATTGTAAGAATTGTTTCTTTTTAGATGATAATGGTGTAGTGATACAAGTCTTGGTAATTAACCCATAGATGGGGGGGATAAGAGTTAGATTCATACTTTTTCCAACAATATTTGCGCGTAAGTAAATATAACAAACCCAACGGGAATTTGAACTCGGCTCCGATTAAAAATTCCGAGCCATTATCCATTAACCCACCCACACATCCATTTTCATAGAAAATATGCGTCCTCTGACAGGAATCGAATCTGTATCCTATACGGAACCGCCATATAGGTTCGATTCCTTTCGGAAGACGCATATTTTCCATGAAAATTTCTCAGACACTCTGGCCGGTAAATGTCGTTAATACAGTTTATTATAAACAGAGCATTTACTTAAATATTTGTATCTATAAAAAGAACGTATAAACATAAAAAATGTCTTAAAATAATTGTTGGACTTTTTCCATTTCATAATACGTGCCGTAGGTTGCCGATACCCGATTTAAACCCTTAGCTAGCTGAAGAAATGACGGATTCATTCTTTTGTGAATGGTATCTGTGCAAAAGTGAATGCCACAGAGTGGGCCAGAATTTGAACACTGCTTGCCGATTTTACTTTCCGCGTCAATAGCCGTTACACTGCCGGCACATCCTAGGCGGTGCTTTAACTCTCTTATGATTTGAAATATTGACAGAACTTTGACGTATAACAATATATCGTGAAGCGAAAGACATTTTCACTTGGTGATATAAAGTCTTAGTGTAAATGGATCATAAATATTAAACATTTAATTCTATGTAAAGGAAGGAATTCTCACACCAGAATCTTCTGAAGTTGACGATAATACAAAAGGCAATCGTTTAACAATGAATATTTCTCACGTTTCATCTATTTTCTATCAAGCGTTGTCATCAGCGAACATTGAAGCTAATCAAATTTATTGTTAAATTTAAAGATTAAATAGAAAAAAAAACATGTCCGGTAGGATTCAATTGCTGAATTTTGTTAATGTGTACTTAAATAGGAAGATTGTTTATTGGCTAGAGGAATAGTCCAAGAGGCGGGCTACAAATTGGTGACCGCCTAAAACAACAATGTACAAGAATTTAAATTCAAATTTGTAGAGACATTTTCAAGAAAAATAATGTAAACAAACAAAATGAAAAAAATCCTGAACATTTACTGGGAATAAACTGCCTGCATGCGGATAGAAAATGAATTGAACAATTACAGAAAAATAAAAAGGAGCGTAAGACAAGGATGCTTCATCTCGCCGGATTTATTTAAACTTCGCAGTGAGACAATCCTAAAAGAACTAACTATATGTCCTATCAGGATTTATTAATGCTGAACACAATCTTAACAGATAAATACTATTGGTTAGTGACAGATCTATATTTTGGGTGCCCTGAAGATTGAACAGATAACAGCCACCCCCCTAGCAACAAGCAACAAGAGATTCGAGGATTCAATTCCCTAAATCTAGGTTAAGAATAGACTCCGGATAGCTCAACAATACAACTGTGGGTTCGGGCACTGCAAACTCCCAGGAAAATTTTGAAATTTAACGAAATGGGTATTGGGTTCTAAGGTCACCATTAGCTACTCCAACCCATCCGCTTATAGTTATATTGCTAGAATGGCCTGATTTTAATAACAAGGACTTAAAAAGAAACATCGATTTTGCTGAAAAATTCATTCGTTAAAAAAGTTGATTCAAGAGGATTAGGGACCCTGAAAATTAAGCTTTATTACGTAGTAAACTCGTCACTGGTGTTTATGAAAGAAAATGACATGAATTCATAGACAAGCTAGTAAAGGAAAGCTAGAAGAAAGGACTTACCATCAATTAAGAATACAGGATGTATAGTCTTCAATAAGAGGTAGAGTCAAAGATACAAATTAAAGATGTTAAAATCAAATACTGGAAAATGCCACAACAAACGATGTAACAGAGGCTTCCAAAAGCTAAGCAAAGTATTAAGAAAAAGGAAAATTGCGTTACAAACACAAATTAAGAAAAGTGTGCTGAGCTGCTATGTAACATCAATCGATCTATATAGCATAGAATGCCATGTAATTCTACACAAGGAGGAAATAACATGGATGGAACATATGAAAAATGGGGAAGTTTTAAAAAAAATGTGAAAAAAATGGATACTTGAAGTTAGAACTAGAAAGTAACATTTGAAATTTCTAGGGCACATAGTAAGGAAAGGGGGTTTGGAAAATTTGAAACTCACAGGACACAAAAAACAGATTAGATGGCTGTTCCCAGTTGTCCTATTCCGAAGTGTATTCAGTTTAGGGATCAGCACATGGGAGGGATAGACATCATGATTCTGAGGAAGACTGGCGTTTATCGATCGTAGCGTCGTGATTTAGACACACAAGTTGGATAATGCGCGGAAAAAATCTATTCTACTGGAGTCTCTGTTCGGTAGTGGATTAACCACATAACTCTAATCCGCGTGGCATTCATCAGTTGAGATGCTTACAGATTATCGACCAGACGAGGTTTTCTTTGCCGACATCTTTTTTCTTTCTTCCTTTCGCTAATCTATACTTGAGTTTGCCAATAGAGTTTAGTCGGTAAATGTATAAATTGAAATTATTCGATTTCCTGTGGATCTAGTACAGACATTTTTTTAAAGTTTCAAGATAAATATTTCTTAATCTGAAAAAACAAAAACAAAAAAAGCGTCAATAATAGAAAAATAATAAAATTTGCATAAGTAAAAGTATAAACAGGCTATATATATATATATATATATATATATATATATATATATATATATATATATGTGAAGAAATATAATCTTAAGATATGCTATATTTATGGGATAAAGTGCTCATTATCAGAGATAGAGCGTGTGTAAATATAAAAGTGAACATAGAAGTCAACACTTAGAGGCGACAGTCTGTTTCATGCTAGACGCAATCGTCAGGCCTGATGGTGCTCTGACGATTGCGTCTATATATATATATATATATATATATATATATATATATATATATATATATATATATATATATATGTATGTATATATATATATATATATATATATATATATATATATATATATATATAATCGTTTCACCGACCCCTGTATATAGATAGATAGATAGATAGATAGATAGATAGATAGATAGATAGATAAAAGTAAAGCTGAAAACAGTCGCGTCTAAAAGGTATAGACAACAACAAAAAGTGCTCAATACAAAATTAAAATTCGAATATGTAGAGCTGAGATAATTTTAAAAAAGTGGCTAAAATGCCAGCCTATCTAGCAACCCGGGTTTCCACCGCATGGTATCCTCAGGCAAGTGGAAGGGTTCAACTTGCTTGAGGAGACCATCGGTCGAAACCCGTGTTGCGAGTTGGCTTTCACTTTAGCTATAATATATATATATATATATATATATTTCTGGATGTTATGGATAGAGTTCTACCAAACTCTATCCGTAACATATACGTTGATAATATAATAGCATCCTCGACATGTACAAAAACGCTAAAACTTATGGAAGCATTATTAATAAATAAATTTTAAAAAAGTCAACATTGAATAATGGCAACTATGAACATGCCGACAATGAAATAAGATTTGTAAAATAAAAATACGTTCGAGACACTCTAATAAGTGTGATGGATATCGCCGCGGAAAATGAATTCGGTGTGCCGAGTTCAATTTCCGCACCGATTCTGTTTCGTATACTTTGCGCTAATGCCTTTGATAAATACGTGATTCCATCTTCCTTCATCTTCCTTCATCTTAAATAAGGCAACCAATCTAGGGGAAGGAAAACTCTGAATTTTAAACCAGCCTGAATAGGGTTGGGCTCTGTCAGGCTATCTTGCCATAGACACACCACTGCTGTTATAGCTGCAGTACATGTAGTGCCGCTACGACCCGGATGATTTACGAGAGGGA